GTAGTATTGTACTCAGGTTATTGATAATTAGATTTTTAATGCTTTTTAAGTTAAAAAAAATGCTCATATTACCCTCGAGATCGTTTCATACATGAATAAATACGGTACATTTTACACAACATCCATGTTTTCTGAACTGGGGTTGCACATACTTCAAACAATCATTCTTTTATATTTGTATAAAGTTACAACAGTTTTACTTCAAATGAAGTATAATAGATACACACTAGAAACCCTGGATATTTTTATAATAATATACAGGTATTTATATTTTTTAAACCCATCTACACATCCAGATAAGAAGAACTAGAACCCTGTAATTACACAAACCACACAGGTGACACACAACTGAACAACACAAACAATCATTAAAGGTTCTGATGCTTGATCCTTTAATCTGGACGATCCCAATGAAAATCTATAAAAGCCATTTATTTGATAATGTTTTATTGTGCTTTTATTTAAAATAAAATTTTACTTGTTATTCAAAATGTTATTTATTTAAAAAAAATAGGTTTTCAATTAAATGCAGTGTGCTGAAACTGTCTAGAGCATCCTACGACCATAAATGTCAGTGTGTCAATATTTCCTGTGGGTGTGTCGGCTGGTGTCAGGTAATTAGCTTGCTTACTGCGTTCTGGATGTCTAAGGACCCAAAATATCCTGGGGGAGCACCATTGGCAGTGTTCTACAAGCAACAACAGAGAGATGAATGAATGAACACATCTAAAGGGTCTGGTCCACCTCCTGCAGGGCTGAAGTTTTACACTCACAGCAGCTTCCACTTCTGTGGACTCCCTGAAAGACAAGGTGAAAAACACTTTCACATACTGAAACCGGTAAAAGAAGCAAACAGAGCAAAACACGAAGCCGTCACTCACGTGGAATCTGTGTCCTTGTCTTTCCTTCGACCTGGAATGCCAAAAGGCTTCCTCTTTCGTGGTTTGGCACCTTAAAGCGAAACATTTCAACAAAAATCTCTAACGAATGAGCCTTCTCATATGTTCAGGGTCTGTTGAAACATTTGCTAGATCGCTACATTATTTTAATTTTGTAGAATGTCGCTATAATGTGTTTGTTTAAACCTATTTTTTAAGCTTTCACAAAGGAACTCACCTTCTGTTGCAACAGCTATGTTACACTCCTCAAACTCAATGGGTCCTGATGAGACAAAAAATACAAACATTTAGGTTTCTTTGGCACAGAAAACATAAAAGACTCACTGCTGTGATTGTTATAAATGTGCATCATGCAATCCTTACAGGTGTGCATGCACACACACAGGTCTGGTTTGTATATCCCTGTGGGGACCGTGCATTGACTTCCATTCATTTTTTGGTAATTTTATATCCTAACCCTGACCATTTACCTTAAAATTAACCTCACAGGTACCTACCTGACCCTAAAACTAACCTAAACTCAATTCACACACTGGTCCTGAACCCAACACCCAACCATCTGTAATTTGTTTTTGGACCATTTGGATGCACGTTCGGTCCCCACAAGGCTGCTTTTTCGGGAAAATTGTCAAAACAATGTAGGAAAAACAAGGCCAAGGCCAAAACAAGGGTTTTCCCCCCAATGGGGACCAGGCTTTTGTCCCAGGAAAATGGTCAAAAATTGTCAGCAAAAACATGTACACACACATCCTTGTACTTGCATCAAACTGAGGACACTGTTGTTTTTAGTCTCTCTTCTTTACATCCATCCATCCATTTTCTGTACACGCTTCTTCCTTTTCAGGGTTGCGTGGGTCACTGGTGCCCATATCCAGCAGTCACAGTGCGAGGGGCATGTTTATTGTAATTATTTCTATCATGTTTTTTCTTTGTCTCTTCCAGAAGAAGGTGTACCTGGACCAGTCCTGGAC